TTCACATCATGTCACCTGCCTGGATCGGTTATTATCTCGCTCTGAAGCATGAAGCAGTGTCAGAGGTGAGCTCGTTTCAACTGCTTTTTACATTTCCGGACTCAGGCATTTAGCCGATATTTCAGTTAAAATACATAAGTAAAAATATTTATCTGAGTATAGTACTACCCCCCAATTTTATGGATCATTTTATGCATTTAATTTTACGTATTAGATTTGAATAAATACGGTAATTATTTTACATTACATCAGACATAAGTTATGATTTCCAGTATAAATATTTGCTTTGAAAAGTGGCTGCAGTTTCTAAAAAAAGAGCTTTATTTGCCAACCATCAATAAAAACATGTGACTTTAGTGTTGCAGAACTTTGCTTCATCTGGGATCCAGTAAAAGCTGCTTTTTAACACCAAAACTACGACGTTCCTCGTGTAAACCTGGAGATCACAGCTGTGCGCCTGCCAGGATTTAAACGGCGCACTGCTAACCGAGTTTAAAGCATATGATTTATTCCCAGTGCATTGTGGGTATGTGACTCTCCACCACCCTGTGGCCGGCTGAAACCCTCCTCCGCCTGAAAAAACAGATGAGCTCACACTCTGCCAAATATACAGAATACTTTGTGCACACAAAAGCCAGAGGAAAGTCAATAAACAAAAGGAGAAACAAAAGGCAAAGCAAACATCTGAACAGAGTCTGGGAGAAAAGTCACGTTTCAACCAGACCTGCTTTACAAACTTCTGTCCAGGTACTTTACTAAACAAACTCATTATACACCTTACTTATTCAGGGTTTCCCCTAGAATTATTTTAACCGTGGAGGTGGTGGGCTGTCTTTTTTTATTATTTTAATTTTTTTGAAGGAGGTGTTCACACAGACATTTAATTATAAAAACATGATTTATTTTATGCTAATCTGAATCAGTTTAGTGTATTTTGTAAATATATTTGACAGTTTTGTAGGAATGAACACATTTACTATGTTTATTCAAAATAAACCTGCTTCTTATTACTTCTGTTATGTTTAAAAGAAAATATTATCATTAAAAAATACTAAAATCTTGTCCTGTTTCTACAAATTGTCTTTGTACACTTCAGAAGCACTCTTAACTCTTGTAGATATAAAAGACAACAGTTAAAATGCAACTATCCATAATAAACTTACTTTCAATCACTGAAAATAATTTATTTACCACATTTTAATCTGGGCCCTAAAGGGTTAATGCTCCTGAGGCTCTATGATGTGTGACAGAGAGAGGGAAGGGATGTGCTCAGGGTGTGAACCGAGCCTGGATTTATGGTGTTTTGAGTACACAAACAACTCTGGTTAACTTTTTTTAAAAGTTGACGGACATTAGGTTAGCTACATTAGCTCGTAGCTGCGTTGCTGATTAGCGCTATTTTTAGAACCGGCACGGAGCCGCTGACTCCAGGTCACACACGGGTCTGKGTTGGTGGTTCTTGCTGTATGAGTAATTATTGATAAGGTAAACATGATGTAGCTTCACCTGTCGTGTCTTCCTTGAAAGAAAAAAAAAGTAGCTTTGCAAAGCTGTCGCATCAAACAGTTTTCATCGAGCATCACATCACACACACATACATGCTTTGGTATCTTTGTGAGGACTACACACTCTAACCGTGTTTCCATCAAGGCTTTTTGATGCGCATTTAGAAGTGTTGCATTAAAAATGCGAAAAAAAAGTCGGATGGAAACAGCAAAATTCGAAAAAAAAAATCCTCAATTCACTAAAAACTTTTTACGCTCGCTTGAGGTGGTTTTTGGATAATTTGCAAAGTAGTTAACGCGCAAAACGGGAGATGGAAACACGTTTGCCGAATAAATTCTGACGTAGTGCATATTTACCTCACGTGACGTTCAGCTGTTTCCGCTGTCCTGCCTCATCCCGGCGTAGTTGCACGTGCCTTTCTGCTGCATAGTTTAACATTGCGTTTATTTCCCTACATCTCCTGGCAGCGTTAAACATAGCCTGTACTAGCTGAATAGATAGAATAATTACAACTTGCCCAATAGGGGTGTAAGAAAATATCGATACACTGAAATATCGCAATATTTCATTTCCCGATACTGTATCGACATTCTAAAGCACTGTTTCGATTTTTTATTAAAGTTTAACATGTCAACTTTCCTG